GAACGGATGGTTGATCACACCTTTGCATGGGTAGAACTGTAGAAGTTCGAGAACGGATGGTTGATCACACCTTTGCATGGGTAGAACTGTAGAAGTTCGATTCACAGATTCAAAATGATATCGACTGATACCCACTATAATTATTGGTTTTGCACAGAAAGGCGGGAACTGGTCAAGAACCACTATTGGTGGGTAGTGTCGTATAAGGTTAGAAATCTACTAATGATACATTTGAGACAAAATATTATTCGATCATTACAACAAAAACAGTAAATTGTTTGAAATATGAGCCGTTTCCAGTTTGATAACTGCTGTTTGACGCGGCAGTGCGCGCCTTGAAATTTATCGCACGAATGCTGAGATAGTGGCAGAAGTCGTACCGGGACGGGACTCGAACCTGTACTCCCGCCTAGGCAAGAGGGGCTCGGATAGCGTAATGGATAACACAACCGCCCGGTAAGCGGGAGATGCGGATTCGAGTCCCGTCCCGGTCCAACTTTTGCCAATATCTCAGCATTCTTGCAATGAAATATTAGCGTTTCTGTCTATGATTTCTGTCAGCGTACAGCTAGATTGCTCCTCAATGCTGGCTGAATCTAGAAGGACGCCTCTAGTCACCTCTCAATATCATCACGTCTTTTGAAACCTTTTCTGTTCAAACGGCGCTTAAAGTCGGAGGGTGCGAGATCAGACTAAAGTGGGTGGAAAACGATAATCCATTCTAAGTCGTATACTCACTCTTCCCCTTTTCTGAGTGGTCTGGCGTCCTTGGGCTGTGGGAAATATTGGTCTGCTATCCACCAGAAGTTTCAAAATGAGCATTCAGCTTTCGTAGCTGAGTAATGTAGACGCTGGTCGTTGCTGTGTCACTGTCATTCCCTCGTAGCTTTCAGTACTTCACGCCACGGATGCCCCATCAAATGCACAGCATCACCTGTTTCCATAAAGGTTTTGGAACGCCTTCTGCTTCTCATACTTCGCCAACCCACTGAGAACGGCGGTGAACGTTAGAGTACAGCATGTACTTCTCATATCCAGTGACAAGGTTATCGCCACGCTTGCGTGTGCTTAAAGGCAGTTGGCACGATGATTTGTGCTCGGCCTAAAATGCTAGTAGGGCGCTATATAGTGGGGAAATGGCGAAAGAACGGAGTGAAACGGTCAAAATCCTGCGAAAAAGAGCCTCCGTTCTCACTGTGTTAGTAATCAATTTTGGACGAGTTTCCCGTAGGCATCTTGCCAATAACCGCTACCGAAGGTACGGCTGCATATGTGTACTCATATATCCATGCAGCATCACGGCCGCTTCATACCAATCCCTTCGCTTCATAATTTGCTTAGCAAATGAATCATTAGAGCGTCAGGAACGGTCGTCCATTTGTGGGCGGGCGGGCGTGGCGGGCGTTTGGGACGTAAAGTTGTGGCTTGATAGGGCCCTTATAAGGGCACCTTGGAAAAGGCATTATGCAGCGCCTGCTCAGGGTCGCGGAATTCCGTCCTGCCAGGCGTATTAGTCCTGCTCGTCTTGGAGGATTTATCGTGCCAACTGCCTTTAAGAGTGAAAAGTGTTAGCGCCATATTGGCCCTGCGATCCATCAGCGCAACGCAGGAACAAATAAATGATTGCTTCCTCTCCGCTGCCCTATGTTATGGCACGACCCCTGAGAAGAGGTACGCGTCACGGCCATGGTTGGGTTGTTAAGTGGCCCTGCGCACCTGGTATCAGAGCCCTTGTCAAGTGTGAGGCGGTCCTCAGCAGGTACGGAGACACTGAATTCCACCGAGAGAAGAGTGTCCCTTGTTAAGCCAGTTGCGGCGCCAACACCAGAAAGTAATATGAGGCGGACCACCTGATCGAGTGCGTACAACGTTGCATGCGGACCTCTTCGCAACTCCTGACAAGGGAAGGATGGTAGGTCGAAGTGGCCATTTGAAATGAAATGTATACCGGCTGAAAGGTCTTCGGACGGGAATTACGAAACCGTCTTCCATATCTGCTGCGGACCTCCCAGAAAGAAGTTACGGAGCTTTTTAGGGGGAGAATACACTACGAATTGGCGGCGTAAGGCTGGTGAGATCGTGGCAGCATGGCCGAGTGGATACGTCGTAGGGCTCACGGATGCGTGGTCGAGGGTTTGGATCCTTGATGCGTGTGCTCTTTTGCATTTTTTCGAAAGTGGTCCCTGTGCACTTCAAAGCTATTTTGCATAACTCTTGTGCCTGATAATGTCGTGACGTAATGTTTCTGAACTGATGGAGCCATTGCCACTCCATGGAGAACGTTTTCTGGCTGTTGACTTCTTCTTTCTTTGATTTGAAAAGCATACACAACAAAAGTGCATTCCAACGAATGATTTTGCCCTGAAAATGACTATTCTCCAAATGACATGACTGGAAACGAATCCGAAGCCGCACGAAACTGTGCGCGAAGATGAGTATAGCGGGAGAATGCTTTCATATGAAGTGGCGTTGATGTGGCAATCATGCTGGAGATCGCGATGGGCAAAACCTTCATTCATCACTCACATAGTGTTGAATGATGTCTATCCCAAAGTGGTTTCGCACCTGCTGGAAGTTTTCGGCTCGTATGACAATCTCTTCAGCCAGAAGTGATCTCCATGAAATCGTTCGCAATGGCTCCATCAGTTCAGAAACATTACGTCACGACATTATCAGGCACAAGTGTTATGCAAAATAGCTTTGAAGTGCACAGGGACCACTTTCGAAAAAATGCAAAAGAGCACACGCATCAAGGATCCAAACCCTCGACCACGCATCCGTGAGCCCTACGACGTATCCACTCGGCCATGCTGCCACGATCGCATCAGCCTTACGCCGCCAATTCGTACTGAATGCGAATATTCTCCCCCTAAAAAGCTCCGTAACTTCTTTCTGGGAGGTCCGCAGCAGATATGGAAGACGGTTTCGTAATTCCCGTCCGAAGACCTTTCAGCCGGTATACATTTCATTTCAAATGGCCACTTCGACCTACCATCCTTCCCTTGTGAGTGAGGCAAAGGAAGGGAATTAGTGCAAAAAAAGAGAATCAAGAAGTTAAATACATGTATATGACGTAGTACGTGTGCACCTTTCGCACCACATCAAAGGAATGTGCGGCTGAATTAGTACATGTAAGAAGTTGTCATTTCCAAAACATCTACAATTAAGAAGAGAAAAAGGAAACAAATATCAAGCGAATTAACCTATGGGCTCGACACCTGTATTACCTCTGGGCTCTAGACTTTTCTAGCCCTCTTGACCATGACGTGGCCATGCGCAGATGGAACGACCAGTCCAGTAGCGTTCCATCAAAGGGATAGGAGTTATCTGCGAGGTTGTTCTCCACCTGCAAGTGGCTTGCGTTGTCGAATGGACCTGGCGCCTGGAAGTTAGGGGTGACTGCGCGGAATGGCTGCCACACGGGCGTTGGAAAGGCTGCGTTCTGATCCGACCGGCGCACAACGCTGACTCTTAAAGGCTGACCGCCAAGGAATGCAGTCGCCGCGAATTTAGGCCTGAGAAGCAGCATTTCTGCTGTTGATTACTGTAACGCGCGCGGTAGAGCCCCAGGGCGGACTCTGGCGATGCTCCCTCAAACACCTGGCCGAATTCGTTGGTCGCGTCACTTGTCGGTAGTTGCAGCCGCAGGGCGGTGAAGCACAGAAGAGGTCGCAAGGAATTAGCAATTCATGTCGTGTTGCGCCAATTCATGGGGTACCCTCTACCTATTTTTGGTACTTGCTGATCTACTTCAATCCACGAAAGCGGTCGTGTGAGAAACGCCAAAATGTTTTGTCAGCTGACGAGTAGTTGATAGGGATCTTCTTTCAAACGGTTCCATAGCAAGTCCAAATCCAGTGTGAGTGGACGTCGAGACATGTCTTCAGCTTCGGTGGAGTAGCCACCGTTCTTAGACTTGCTGAAGGTGCTGGTAGATACTCATTCGACTGGAAACCTTTTTATAAACCTTTAACAGACGTATATAGGATTCATTAGGGCTGAGGTAGAGCGCCATGACTGGCGAAAGTGGTATTTAATTGCAAACATATATCAGAAGGTATATACTATGCCTCACTGAGTACTCATCGCAGTTTTGTAGCCCCTTCCTGTTCTATAGAATCACTAGTCACTTGCATCAGTAATAAGTGTGATGTGTGGGATAGGGAGCGTTTACTGAGTGTTCAGATGTGAGGACAGGGTACAGCATCGTTGTGTGAAACACATAGGGGGGGTCGTACTTTTTCTCCGGGAGAGGGTTGGTCGTATTTGGTCCTTGGGAAAGAGGGGGGGGGGGTCTGAGAGAAATGATTTTCCGGTTGTTGACTTTTTGCGTGATTTTTCCTGTTTCATGTGCTCTATATACCCCTCGCCCCGCTCCAAGGAAATTTTTGGGTGAAAAAAACTGGAACATGGGCGAAATTTGTAGGTAGGCGTTGGGGAAGGGGGGGGGGCTGTACCGAGACTCTTACAAGGGGGGAGGTCGTACCTACACCACCACCTCACACATTATGATGCTGTACCCTGTGTGAGAAGCACGGTATTATATTAACCGAGTGCATTTCTAATTCGAAACCTGGCGTCAGCCACCGATGCGACTGGGTTTTATTGCCATTGGGCTATTCCCGTCAATGCTGAGTACTGACTGGAAGGAGCTCTGGCTGCTGTTTCATGGTCTTGTATGACCAGCTGTTGTATACTGTTGGAGTAAATAAACCCGATGAGCGTAATACCCACATTTTTCAGCCCATAAAGAAAGCCAGGTAACCTCTACCAAGCAAAGTTGATTTTCGAAGGTCTGCGTTAAGAAGGTGTGTTTGAATCAAAATTCATGCATTAAAGCGTATACGTATTTTATAGGCCCAAAATTACAAAAGATAGAAATGTGAAAGAAACACCGACGACTGCGACTGGAAAGAGTGATAGAGGAACGGAGAAGGAAACAGAGAGAACTGGCGGGAAGCATTCGGAAAATACAGATACTAAGGCAGAAGGGGCTGACTCGATTAGAGCTCAAAGCTCAGCAGGAGCAACTCGAACGCTAGGAAGGAGAAAGACACCAGGAAGAAAGAAGTCGTCTGGACGTTCGCCTGCTGGTGAGACATCCGGTGGTGCTACGAGAGCCACGGAATCAAGTGCCCCGACCCCTGATAGCGGGGCCGAAACACTGGATGTGGATCAAGTACGTTAGAGACTTTTTTCTGATGTGGACAGACCAGTAAGTTGTTTGTAATTCAGGCAGAAGAGACCAGACGATCTGGTCCATGGAAGTGGCTATCAACGCATAAGACAGGATCGAAGTCAAAGTACGTGTGATCTGTGCTATTGCACTATGATTAGGGCGTGCTATAGCGACAAGAAATAGGATTCATGGGCGCATGATAGTGCTATGAAGATTCATATTCACGAGAAGGGAAAAAACTTCGGTGGGAGCAGGCGGCGCCTGAAGAGCATGTTACGGCGACGGCGCAGCAAAGGACTAACCGAGAGACGACTGCCATCACTACGACTCAGCTGTTTATAGGGCCATATTCATATTATGTACCATTCATCGGCAGAGTGCCAGTGTTTATTGTTTCTCGACTGCCGTGTTAACGCTGGCTTTTGTATTCGCCGCCTTATCCGACGACCGCAAGCACGCGACGGGTGCGCCGCGCGGAACCGGGATGTGTGTTGACAGCAGTGGCTCTTCTTTGTCCTTACAGTAGTGCAAACTGCCGAGACTCGACTGAAGGGGAATATATCGCGAGGAATTTGGCCATTCCTGTCTAATAAAGCGCTCTGCTGTCTGTCTGCTTGTGTTCTGTAAGTTAAATCTGTTGCAGTGGACCGAATACACAGAGTAATGAGCAGCTTTATTGACAGTCAACATGGTGAATCGTAACTTGAAGGGTGCGTGAGTCGATTTCCGATAGCGTCGCCGTCCAGCCGTTCGACAGTCGCTCCTCCGTCACTTCTGCCCGTCGTCGTCGAGCTTGCCCCGCACTCGCTGAAACCAAAACAATACTCGCGATCATTGAGCGATCAAGCTGCACTGTTCTAGAAATTGCCCCTGTCCCCTGGATTTCACCTCCCCTTTTTATCCAAAAAGCTTTTTTTATTTCCCTACTTCCCTTATATCTTCCTTTTTTATCCTAAAAAGGTGTGACAGAAGAGGAGGACCCCCCCCCTCCAGGAGCATCGAGGTGCTCCTGAAGGGGGGTCACGCGCAGTGCGGGGTCTACGAGACCTACGACAAGGACACGGTGTCGACGTGGGGTTCCTGGCTCCAAAACCACGAGCGCCTCTGATGGTAGCCGCCGGAGTCATCGGACTTCTTTGCTCCCGGGATGAGGGGCCTAAATGAATCTAGCTCACTGTGAAGCATGTATCCACGACGAAGGGGCAGACTGATGGGAGCGAAAAGTGAAGGAGCTGGTGAGAACCTTCCTTACGTTGACGGAGATGTATCAAAGTCAGGGGCGACTGCGCGAAGCACGACGCGATGCAGAGGCGAAGCCACTCGAGCGAAAACGTGGTGTGGTCGATTCGTCCAAGCACGGCTGCCCGAGGGTGTCAGACACGCGGTGGTCGGAGACGCTACGACCAGAAGAAGATGCAGATTCAGATGAAGCTAGCACAGAGGACCGTGCTTGTATTTGGAACCATCGACGGAACGCATTTCGGCGCCACTAGGGAGAAGCCTGAACGAAAAGAAGCTGTACCTCGACGCTAGTGTTGGAAAGTCAAGGGGAGAACAGGTAAAACGAGCGGGGTAGACCGAATAAAATAAAGAAAGAGAACGAAAAAGAAGTAGAACGGTAAGGATGAGAGGAAAATAAGAACAAGAGAAAATCAATGACACATAGATACACTAAGGGAGGGAAACTTGCTCGTCAGGGCTAAGCTCGCCATG